GTTTAACTTAAAGGGTATGCGTGTGTCATAACTGCCATATGCAAATGTCAGCAGCATTTTTCTGTCCGGACACGAACATCACCAAATGGCCAAATATTCCTATTTAACCTGCCTACCCACCGATAACAATTATGTTCAACACAAACGTGATCCGGACAAAATAATACCACTAATAAAGCGACAGACATATTATTTTGAAACGACGACCATGCCGAAATTCATGTGTTTGACATCTCCATCTATGCGCGCTATCTGGCTGGCAAAGAGATGGATCTGAGCGATAGGCGCTCCGCTCGGCTCGATGCTTTGGAGATAACGTTCGAGTGGAGAGAACGCAGCCGGCCGAATTAGCTATACAGGGTGGACCAAAAAATGAGGGGTATGGAATCTATAAAGACCTTGCTATCCTAAAATCGGTGATCTGATTTTAAAGTGTGAGTTAATGATCTTAAATCTTTAACTATATTTACCGCACTTAAAAAACCGGCAACCCTGCTTATTTGTTTCTCTCTATATCAGCTGGTTATGCCCAAGTAGCATTTTTAGACACTAAATCGGAACAGTTTCGTCACATATTTGATACATATGTTTCGTAACATAAATCGCTTTTTGTTTCGAAACATTTTACCAAAATATGGTTTGGTTTGGATGTTTGAAGTGTTGCTGAAGTTGTTGTTGTTGCTGCATAAGCTATAACAACGAACTTACAGATTTCGTTCCCATTTTGTGCCTGAAAAGTTTCCATAATTTATTTGATATTATATCAAATATGAGAACATAACCTTACCTTATTGTTCAGATTTTGTTCTGCAGTTTTTGCATTTAAGCATTCTTCAACTTTTTATAGTACTACAATTAAAAAAGCAGAAGGAAGGGCATATGGTGGGTCCCAAGTAGCATTTTCACGACTTGCGACCACATGTTTACTAAACACAACGTTGGATTAGTTACAAAAAATAGTTAGCTCCATACCTTGGGTATTAAAATAAATGTACACGTTGTTGTAATGTTGTGCCGACGTTGAACTAATACTACAACAAAGTAAAAGCTTCTGCGACGTCGAATAAACGTTGTGTTGTAACCTTTTTTGCTTAAGTGATCTTTAGGTGATTCGGACAACGTACTTACAATGTTGGGCAATAAAGAGTTTTCCGACGTCACTTTCAGGACCTATTCCAACGTTGCGCAAACGTCGTCTATTTTACTAATTCCAACGTTGTTTAGATTTCCTTTTTTTTACATTGGTAGAACGTCGAGCGTCGAGTCATTGGTAGAACCTTTTTGCAACTGTATTGAACCATAACCTTAAACCTTAAATTTTCACTTCATTGTTCTGCTGAGTCAGACAGTTCAGTGCTGTTTTTGTTTTTATAAAAAAAAACTTACCTAATTAAAACGGGACGTAAGGAAGGCACATATAAAACTAAATTTAAATATCCATCGACATATTACCGATACTTTATCCACTCCCTCGTTTATTTAGAATATAGAGGGCGGCACAAGCTGAAGTCTAGGATGACTAAATTAAGCAATCTTGCGACTAGTATACTACCTGTTAAGGCTGAACTGCGACTTTATTAGTCCAGTATGCGACTACTCGAACTACTCCATCTTAATCTCCAAAACAGCAAAGTGAAAGCCGCCATGTTGTTGAATAAGAAAATGTTTCGTTTCTAAAATAGCAATTCCTGCTTTTTGAATACATTAATTTGAAATATTTGACCCTAAACAACACGCGGAAACAATTTTTTTCGACTGCAAATAAATTATTTTCATTTTACTGAAAAAAAAATCAAGAAATTTTTTAAAACTTCTTTAATTTTAAGGCCCATTAGTATTTTTCAAAGCAGAAACAATACATTTATCAATAAATTTGTTTGCGTTTAAATTTTTTGCCTTGGATAACGAGACAGAGTTGGTTAAAGTGTTTCAATAATTATGATCTTCAAACATCCCCCACACTTAAATACTTTTGTTTTGTTTTCCTTTACTGCCATCTGGCATATGTCTCTAACTAAATCATAAAAATAATATTTTTACTATAATTATCCCAATTTAGGATAAAACGCGACTTAGACGCCATATTATTATATTTTTGTATTTTTGTGAATTAGGATTTTAAACAACGTTGCAGTTTGTATTAAATTAGGCTGCTAAACAACGTAGGTATCCAACGTCGTTTCGACCCAAAAATTATTCTCCAAACTAGTGCAGACTAGGGTTGGCCCGAGGTTGTGCCGACGTTGCGCTCCGACGTTTGGTCGCGTGACACAACGTTGTCCCGACGTCCAAATGCTGCTTGTGGTACAAATACAGATATTTTTCTTATGCGATTTTATTATTATTTATTATACACATTACAGAGATTATTTGTTTTAGGAATAAATGGTAATAACAGCCACTACCCATACCCAACAGGAGACCGAAGAGAAATGTTACCAGCAAAGTCTTTTTCACTTTTTTTCCACAATGTAATACATGTTTTTATGTTTTAATTGTCTTATAATAACTAAATAAAAATATTTTAATTATTTTGACCAGAAGTTTTGATTAGCGTTGTTGACAAGTGATTAGTTCAAAATTTCTACACAGTTAGCGCTTAAACGAAACATTTTGGAAACAAGGTTTCCATTTATTGTTGATTCTTTTTCGAAACACGAGTTTCTCTCTTTTTAGGCACAAAATATGTTATAATGTAGATGATTCGTGTACTACTGAAATGAAGATAATATACCCTAAGCTAAATATAATTTATTACAGATGTAGTAAAATGAGTAACTAATTGTGAAAAATAAAGTTCCAACTCTAGATGCAACATTTTTCATAAACTTGTGCGGTTTGAAATTTTGATGCAAAATCCGGCAATACCGCATAGAAGAAATGCAACAACCCATCTTTTGACTCTTTTTAATACATATTTGATTTTCCATTAAGTTGTCTACATCACTGTCTTATGTCTTACACGTTAAAATCCAGACCACGCAAACAAAACACGTAAGATGAAACTGAACACAAAGCAAAAATACTATGGCCTTAATTTGTTATCGACAGCTAAGTTGGATCCCTTTTTCGAAAATATTTGTGAAAATAATTGTTAATTATATTAAAACATCTCATTAGTTAGGATTAACTTGAGCCACCGTGTATAAGGCAAATCATGTTCCATCCCTTTTGGCCTTATGGCCTTCCTTTATGTGAGACCTACTCAAACACACAATGCCACAAATTTGTCGGTACAAAGGACCAGCATAATGTTCATTAAGGTCAACCAAAGGGTCTTGACAGTTCATCTCTCTCTACCTATATCCACCTATTGCGACGCACAGGGGAATATTTCATATATTATTTTAATATTTAATATATTTGTGCCAGTGAGTGTATTTGTATAATCGTATACACTAAAACCAATTAATTTTTCCTTCTTTGTTCTTATCTCAATAAAAAAACTTCCAAGCAATAAATCATGCACCCACGTCTTTGGAAATTAAACTTTTTTGTTCACAACCAAATTAATTTTTCAGGCAGACCGGTTTTTCTAAAATGACGTCTCAAAAAAAGTTTGCTGCATTAGCAGCAGCTTAATATCAACTTGGCCGAACTTTTTAAATTTAAATTGAACCTAATAACCATAGAATGGAAAAATAAGAGGGGGCGAAAAACAAGGGACTGTTTGAGCTTTTATAATTTGTTAAAAAATTTAGACCTCTTTTCGAAAGAAAAACATTGTTAATTTTATTAATAAAAATACTATAGAAATATGTGTCTACGTATAAAATAACTTTATATCTTGACCTTTTTTGTATTAAAAAACGTGTTCTATATTTTGCTCTTAGATCTTATAACTTACTTGAAGAAGTAAATTCGCTTCATCCTTTTGTTGGATATGAAGAGAGAAATTGATTATATTCAAATATATAATATAATAATTCAATAGAATATTCGATAAATGATTTAAATTAATTAACTAAATAATTAATTAATTTTAATATTCAGTACTAGCAGGGCCGGATCTACCTAAGGGCTGTTTGGGCTGCAGCCCAGGGCCCCGAGGTTACAAGGGGCCCCCAGACCACGCTAAAAACAATAGACCCATAGGTGGAAACTGTTGAATCGTGAAATAAAATTAAAATTCACGTTAAAAAGTTTAAGCCAGACCAGATGGTTTTGCCACTATGATGCTGTCAAAGCCTTAAAAATAATTATGATGACATTATAAAAATTTTCGAAAGTTTCAGCGAAATGAGATGAGAAAGTTGATTTCGGAAAAAGAGGCACAGAAATTTATTCAATAAAATGGCGAAACTCGAGACTGCAATTTTGATTATCTTTTGGGAAGAACTTTTGCAGAGATTTCATTTAGTTAATAAAAAATACGCCTGGTTTAGACATTTGTGAAGGCAACAAGTTAATTGTGTCATTAAAAGACTTTGTGAATAACATACGATACCGATCAGATCAAAAGCTAAAGGAATACGAAGAGAAAGCTAAAAATTAAGTACTAGTGTGAGGATAGACTACAATGACGTAAACAAGAGACGCATTATTCCAAAATTTTCAGATAAGTCTACAGGTGAATTCTCAGTATACGGCGTATTTGGTGACGAACTTCACCGGTATTTTCTCTTGTTGACTAATGATAATGAATAAAACTAACTTTCTAAATATGGACTGTATTTACTAATTGAGGAACTTGTACATTCAACATGGACGCTTAGCTCGGCGGCTGGTGTCGATTTTTTATCTCGTAGAATATAGTGCGCGCGTCAGCTGTTCCAACGTTGCCACTGTTGCCACGTATTTTTTAAATCCGACCATAACCGCCGGCCTTGAAAGATTAACTTTCAAAACATAAACTACTACAACTAATGGTTTTACAAACAACATATCAATTAACACTAGATATGTAAACATCTTAAATATTGTATAAAAAATATATATAGCTAAATTGAGGCTAACAATGATAAGATAATTAATTAAGCCTCTGTTGGTTCGCACTAAGCCTATGAGATGGTTTTAGAAGGGTCGACCTCGATTGGAAGAGCGCATAACTTTTGTACCGACCTCTTTATCACTCCGGCACTAGTACGCACACTAACAACTCGCACTAACCCATCCTGTCCTGGGTGAAGCTCGACGATCCGTCCAAGCTTCCAATTCAGCGGTGCGGCGTTTTCTTCCCTCAGAATGACCATAGTGCCCACTTCCAAGTTCTGATGACCAGGCGTAAGAGCAAGGAAGTCATTTGGATTAGAGGATAGAGGGGTTAGGGGTCGGGAATTTAGAACCGCCTCTATCTGTGTAAGCACGGTGCTCATGTCTTCAAAAGTTAAAATTGTATTACCTATAACCCGCGCTATATGATGTTTTGCTGATTTAATAGCGGATTCCCAGAGACCTCCGTGATGAGGTGATCGAGGAGGAATATACCGCCAGTCAATGTGGGATTGCTGACAAAATTTATAAAATTCTTTATCTTGTCCCACGGATTTTAAAAAGTTTTCTACTTTTTTCAGCTCGTTATTCGCCCCAACAAAATTAGTTGCATTGTCGGAATACATTCGAGTACATATACCTCGTCTTGACACAAACCTTTTTAGACAATTTAAAAATGAACTACTGCTTAAATCGCCTGCGAGCTCTATATGCACTGCCTTGGTCGACAAGCATACGAATAAGCACATATAACTCTTTATAATAGCGCGATTTCGTAGTTTACCGTCTTTTAGATTGAACGGACCTGCAAAATCGACGCCTGAAACTAGAAAAGGTCTACTAGACCTTACTCGGTCTTCTGGCAGATCAGCCATTTTTTGCTTAATACTGCCAGGCTTGACTCGAAAGCAGGTTACGCATCTCGCTAACATACTTCGAACCACACGTCTTCCGTTTATCGGCCAGTAACGCTGTCGTAAAGAGGCTAAAATTAGTTGTGGCCCTGCGTGTAATTGTTTGTGATGCTGATCTAATACTATCAGTCTAGTCAATGGATGTCTTTGAGGTAAAAGTATGGGAAATTTGACATCGTACGTTTCGTTGGAATTGCGAAGTCTCCCACCCACGCGCAAAATACCCGATGCATCGATAAAGGGATCAAGTGACCTAAGCGTACTTTGTTTTGGTAAATCGTTAGATCTATGTATAGCTAGTATTTCGTCTTTGAACTCTTGGGCTTGCATAACCTTTATCAAAGCAACAATGCTTCGTCAAATTCTGTATTTGATATGTCACCAAAATTCCTGTTACCTACCGTACACCTGGAGTTTTTACTAAATCTAAAGCATAATGCTACAATCCGAACTAATTTATATAATGAAGAATACCGTGTAAAAATTTCAGAATCGATAAGTACGCTGGTAAAAGTAAACTTAACATTTCGTTGTTCAGGAATAGAACTTGTATACATATTATGCTCAGTTTTTGGCCATTTGTCTAGATTATCTCTAAGCCATGGAGGTCCTAACCACCACAAATCTAAGTTTTTAAGCAATATAGGTTGTGTGCCTCTCGATATGATGTCAGCTGGATTGTCGGCAGATTCAACGTGTTTCCAATAATAACCTGTAGTGAGTTCTTGTATCTCTGCGACTCTATTAGCCACGAAAACCTTCCACCTACTTGGCTGTTCCGCAATCCACCCCAGCACAATTGTAGAGTCTGTCCACAAATATATATCATCAGGACTTATATCTAACGCAGCAATAACCTTTTTTGTTAAACGAGCTAATATCACAGCTCCGCATAGTTCCAAACGCGGTAAACTAATCTGCTTTATCGGAGCTACACGAGACTTGGCACAAATCAGACGTACTAGAATGTTACCAGCTGCATTAATGGAACGAAGATACAAACAGGCACCATAAGCTTGCTCACTGGCATCAGAAAACCCATGAATCTCAAATCTAACAGCATCTAATATTGCAATTTGCCTGGGAATCCTGATTTCATTAAGACATGCAAATTGCTTATAAAATTCATTCCATGTTGTAGCCAAATCTATCGGAATTGTTTCGTCCCAAGCTAATTTCAACTGCCAAAGTCTTTGTAGCAAAATCTTTGTTCTTATGATGACAGGACTCAGTAAGCCTAACGGATCAAATATTTGTGATGTTATCGACAATATCACACGCTTTGTTACATCAGCATAATTCCTAAATCGTTTCTCCACTACATATTGCAACGCATCAGAATTTGCTCTCCAAAATATTCCCAATGTTTTATTGCATTCATTGTCTGCTATAATATACCCCATATTATCTGCTTTTTCAAAGGGAAGACCATCCAGTACTTCTCTATAGTTGGAAGACCATTTTCGTAATGGAAACCCGTATTTACTAAGTTCTTCATAAATGCATTTTTGCTATCTCTATAGCCTTTTCAACTGACTCTACACTTAAGATTAAGTCATCTACATAAAACTGTTTTCTTATTATCTTGCTTATCTCTGGTAATCTATCTTCAATATCTAAGGCAATCTGCACGAGGCATCTAGTCGCTAAAAAGGCCGCAGGTGCAGTACCATACGTTAATGTGTTTAGTCTATAATGTTCAAGCTCTGAATCAGAATCCGCGCGCCACAATATTCTTTGTAAGTCACGCTGCTGAACATCAACATTCACCTGTCGGTACATTTTTGTAATATCTGCTGTCAATACTACACTATGTTGTCGAAATCTAATCAAGATATCAAACAGATCATCTTGAATACATGGCCCAACCATCAATACATCATTTAATGAAAAAAATTGCTAGAGGTTTTTGAACTAGCATCAAACACCACACACGTAGCTTTGTAGTAGTACTACCTTCATTTATGACACCGTGATGTGGTAAATAGCATATATTATTGAGAGAATCATTCTGAATCTCAATTTTACTCATGTGTCCCAAATCGATATATATTCTTGAATAAATGCTGAATATTCTTCTTTGAGGACTGCATTTTTCATAAACTTCTTCTCTAAAGAGTAAAATCTACTTTTAGCATTTTCTAAAAATTACCTAACTTGCTGCTATTATCTTTCAGCGGCAAAGTTACACAAAATCTACCAGAACAGTCCCAGTGACTCTATCTACAAAGTGTTGCTCGCAATCTGATTCCTCTTTTGAATAATGCGATGCTGTGGCTACTTCCCTCAATATGCCAAAATTTCTCCAATTGTTCTTGTACATCTTGAGAGGCTAACAAATAAACGACTGAGCAGCTGTGCTTGATTTATCATGAACTAAACGTCCTGATATGATCCAACCGAAAACGCTTTTTTGTAACAGCGGTTTCCCCATACCTAACCTAATTTGCCCTACACAGAGTAAGTTAAAAAATAAGTCAGCCCCTATTAAAACATCTATTTTTGCCGACATGTTAAACTCTGGGTCCGCTAATTTTAAATTAGACGGTATATTTATAGCTGACGCCTCAAAAGATTGTACCGGAATATTATATGTGATATTTTTTAGAACCAGAAAAGACAGAGTTGCTGTAAAGTTATTATAACATGATTTGATAATAGATTCTGTTTGACTGTCGATTTTGGTAAGCATTTGATTAACTCCTGAAATAGGTATATCTATTGTATTTGTCTTTAATTTTAGTTTTCTTACCAACTCACTAGAAATAAAATTCATTTGAGAGCCACTGTCTAACAACGCTCTGCACTTTACATAGTTATCTTTATTATCTTTTATGTAAATAAGCGCAGTAGACAAAATAGTTTGACTAGCCTCTTTTGGATTACTGTAAGAAGTTGCAGCTACGAACTGCTCCTCTGTTGCTTCCACCCCGTCTACACACGCATGTACCGTGTCCGCTTCTTCCGGTTTGTTTTTTCTCCCTGACTCTATATCTTTATTCACTAACCGTCCGTTCCCAAAATTTTGATTTATTTGCTTTTCTAGATGTAATAAGCTATTATGCCGACCCCGACACCTTTTACAACCACTTGCCCGACATTCGCTCGCTGTATGACTAGATCGTAAACAATTGAAACAGAGTTTAAGTTTTTTAATTTCCCTGAGTCTCTCCGAAACCGAAAGTGCTAACAATTTTTGACAAAAGTATACAAAGTGTGATCCCTTGCAAAACTCGCACTTTACATTGGATCCTCCTACTGCCGCGTAAGCCCCACGAGAATTTTGACTACCGCTATAACCTTGTTTAATAGTCCCCTTTGTATTACTCTCAACAGTTTCTAAAATATGACATTTATTGTTTAAAAAATTAATAAAATTAGATAGTTGTGGAACACCTTTAAAATCTGATATGCTTTTTTGTTCCCATTCCTTTTTTGTTTCTATATCTAATTTCTTGCTCATTAGAAAAATAAGCAATCTATCCCATGTGTCTACCGGTTCTCCTAATGTTTTCAGGGCCCGAATGTGCTTTTCAATAGAATCACTTAAATTTCTTAGTAACTGGGAAGATTCCCTACTTACAATCGGCATATCCACCAGGGCTTTAATATGGTTCTTAATAATTACAGGTTTATTTTGAAATCGTTTTTTCAATAAGTCTAAAGCTACTTCGTAGTTGTCATTTGTTATTTCCAGACAATCCAAAATTTTTCTGGCCTCGCCTTCCAGGCAATCCAATAAGTAATAAAATTTTTGTATGTTATCCAAACATGGATTATTGTGAACTAGCGTCTGAAAACCCTCAAAAAACTGCAACCACTTCTCAAAATCACCCCTAAATTTAGGTAAACCTAAGCTCGGCAGCTTAGCCCCGCCCACTATGAACGAGTTGTTATCTATCCCACTACTACCCTGACTATTTTGAATTAATGACGGATTAGTTAAACTCTGATTGTGCTCTGCCTTTAATTGATATTGCGAAATGTGCCCCTTGGCCGTAGCCAACAACGAATAGAATTGTGATTCGAAGCTTTCATACTCCAAGTTGCCATCTGCTTCAGAGTCAAGAATTTCTATTTCTATTTGAATTTCTTCAAATCGGTCCAACAGTGGCTCTATTTTTTCGGTACGGACTTGAAGCTCCTTTATTTGGCTCAAATTAAACGTGTCTACGAATTCTGCAAACCGATTTAAGGTTTCTTTTATTCTATTCCGCCTAACGACTAATTTTGCTAGTTCCGAATTTCTATCTTCCGAGCTTTGACTCATCTTAACACGCTTACGTCTCAATATAGAACTATCTAAAAAACTATCTATCTATTAGAAACTCGATGACTAAAATGTTTTATTCTATAAATTAGAACGTCGATGGTTGTGACGTACCATCGAAAGTTGCCGACAAAGGATAATGTTTTTCTATTAACGATACTGCTCGAAAGTTTCTTATTTACAAATTAAAATGTCTACAATCCCCACTAACTATAGGTACGCACTTAATAATCTTTAATTTCTATTTATTATTTTTACTGGTCTAAATTTCAAAATATGTCTAATATAATAAATATCTATAACACTAGTCTGCGATTTTTTATGAAACCAACTACTTACACAAATAGAGAGATACTATAAGGAGAAATAGGACATTAACTATAATGGAACAAAGGACGGAGACTTACCAAGAAAGCAACGCCGGCCATGCAGCTCTAACAACTCTCATATGAAACACTGGCTTTTTCTCCACTATCCGGCTCGAAGGACCATTATGTTTGGTGACGAACTTCACCGGTATTTTCTCTTGTTGACTAATGATAATGAATAAAACTAACTTTCTAAATATGGACTGTATTTACTAATTGAGGAACTTGTACATTCAACATGGACGCTTAGCTCGGCGGCTGGTGTCGATTTTTATCTCGTAGGAATATAGTGCGCGCGTCAACTGTTCCAACGTTGCCACTGTTGCCACGTATTTTTAAATCCGACCACGGCGCATAAAGAAGAAAGATTTAAAAGAGACACGTTAAACGTTACGTTGGATAAGCTGATTATGGATTTAAATAAAAGGAGCCAAGTCTATGAGACAAAAATATAGCAAAAAATTCAAATTTTTAATGGATTTGCAAGACCAAAATATCGAAAACATAGATTTGGAAATTGCACGTCATATTATTGATTACTATCCCGATGACGTAGACGAGCATTTAGTGAATGAGTGCATTCAATTAAAATCGTATTGACTCCAATCTAAGCCAGAGTCTTACACCTCTTGCAGTAATATTTTTATGCTCATGCATGAAAATAAACTTATTGACGTGTTCCCTAACTGCTATACCATTTTAAAGATTTTTTTTATCATTGCCAATCACTAGCTGTGAAGCAGAACGCTCCTTCTCCAAGATGTCCTATGTAGAAAATAAATATAGGACAATAATGTCGAACCATCGACTAAATAATTTATCACTTCTTTCCATAAACTGTGATCTAACAAAAGACTTGCAATGTGATGGCCAAATAACTGTCAATTTCTGTGACTGCAACCTATCAAAAAAATTCTTTTACTAATTCATAATAAATAAATAAAATAGTTTTATTGTTTTTTTATATTCTTATATAATATCACTATTTCGGTTTCTCTCTCACCCAAAGGTTGCCTGGAAGAGATTACTACCACAGCAATAAGTCGCCTTTTGTACAACTAATACTTGCGTAGATTTAAGTAACATTTATGGTTTTTTTGTGCAATAAAGAATATATAATAATAATATATCATTATAGAAACAGTTTTTTGACATGGCTATTAGTTGAGTACTTAGGTAGGCCTCTAAGTAGTTTCAGCCCAGGGCCCCCAAATTCACGATCCGCCCCTGAGTACTAGTAATAATTTATTGTTACACACATATACAAAAAGTGAGCATGATAAAATCATAGTATAAGAAAACTAGTAGCTTTACTCCTTATCAAATCCTTTGTTCTTTTTCTGCCACTTTATATGACCTTGTTCTCGCGTCCCGTGACCACTGACGTAGCTGTATAGTCGCGGTCTATAACTAGGCAAAGTACAGTCGTGGCACTCGCCATAGTTTCACAGAGATGTATTTAGGAAAATATGAATTCACAATAAAATAAAATAAATAAATTGATCAACGAGTAAAAATTTGCTTGAAAACATAATATTTTCACATTTCGTGTAAGTAACAATTCTTCTGTATCTGAAAATCTCTGATGGGAAGAAATGCGGAAAAAATATATAATGACATATTTTTATATTATTATTTAACTTTTTTTCAATTTAAAACAAGTTTAATTTTAACATTAACGTGTTTCTTTTGTAGTTATTGGTCATTTTCATTGGATAACTAATATATTGAACAACACATTGTACTAAATAATAAAATAACATATTTAAACTTCAATAATTGCTAATAAACATTACAGAAATTTCAAAAGAGGAAAGAAACAAGAACAGTGAGAAATAGAATCACTACTTTCTCACGTAATAAAAGAATAATTTTTTAGTTGTTGTTACCGAGTCTCGAAGGTACCGAAAGAACCGGGAATTAATAATTTCGAGTCCCGGTTCTTTGATATCTCAAAAGAACCGGGAATTTCCGGTTCTGAACCGTAGTTACCATATTTTCAAGAAATTATGTTTTTTAAAATTAAAAATTCCACATTTTTTTCAAAAGAAAAATTGCGCAGAAAAATCCTCATATTTCTGGGGTCAAAATATATAATAATAATAATAATAATAGCTCCCGTATATAGCGTTTAACGCCTTGGGAGTAGCAAGGTACAGCTTGCCATACTAGAGCCGTTCGGTATACAAGGAAGGTAATGTGGCTAGCATTACGCTTCAACCGCCCCGCCTATTATTACCTCAGGATTGTGAATCCCAAGTACTCATTTAAGGCTGAGTCGACCTAGGTACCCAAACTATTTTTATTTTAATAAAAATAGTCGGCTGATGCAATGGCGGGTGTGGGATTCGAACCCACTACCTTCAGATTGGTAGACGAGAGCCTGTACCTCTGCGCCACCAGGCACCCTAAAATATATTACCCCTAAAAATATTTGCACTTATTTAAAACACACTGTATAGGGCGATTTACGGTTATAGTACGTTATAGCGGTTCCGGAACCAAAGTTGTTTTTCGGAACCGGTAATTTCGGTACCATTCCTCTAAGAAACCGGGATTTCCATTTTTTTCCGGTCCTTTCGGTACTAGCAAATTTTTGTTCAATGATGGTACAGTTTATTAAAGAGCAAGCAAGGGATGGTTGTCAAAAGTAAAATCGATAAAAAATTGAGGTTTAAATGAAAATAATATCAAATGATTAAGTAGTCATCAGTCATGAGAATATTAACCTGAACCACACCTACTATGATATAACTGTGCTTATAATAATGTTGCCTAACGCGCGTCTCGCTTGTACGCTGCTTATAATATAATATTGACTGTTTTATTGATACCATACAAACAGAATAAAAATTAGACGGGCGCAACATCCAAATAAGTATATTTATATGGCAGCATCCGGGTGACTTGGTCCAATTACACTTGAACCGTGTCAACCAGGCTTAAACTTTTGAAAACACGGCATCATCGAATTATCCGAAAATAAAACATATTAACACTATAGATTGCCTTTTCTTTTTACCATCTTCGACAAAGCAGAAACTCTACTAAACCACAAACGACAATCATCAGACTCAATTCCGTCATAATACGCCGTCTAACTTACTAGCCATCATCCCCAGGTTGACGGTAGCAGTGCCCCGCCGGCCGAGGGACACACAATTACCCATTCATAGTTTCGATAAAATCGCATCGAATGATTTACAAGAAATTAGCATACGCCATCAGTAATAGCGCTGGGTCTATCTAATCGCGCGCGGTTGCGTTCCATTAATTAATTAATAATTAATTTCTGGTTTATTGGGCGGCTGATTTATGGAAATCGCTGCCAAGATGCGCGCCTACCGGCCGGCAGCAGCATCAGCTAGCCGATAGATATATGTAGGCAGAATGTTATATACGGCCGTTCCTAGATATACACATGCGAAGATAAGAAATCGATGTAAAATATTGGAGCTATCTGTGGTGGTCGAGTATAGAGCAAGCAAACAATTAGCTTTAAGCTTCATTCAGGATCTCAAAATTAGTGGAATAAATTAGTGGTTACAGTTACACAGTGTGGTCCAAACTGTATTCTGGAACCTTCAGCCAGCATATTCTGCAGATAAAAATAAGTAAAAAAGTTCGAATAAATGTATGTCTTAAAATGCTTAGTTTCGGAGATACAGGATGTAGAATTTTAATTTTTATTTCGATTTTTTCCAAATATTTTCTAAAATAACGCCAATATTTGGATGAAAATTCCACACCTGTAAAATTTTTAACCAATCAAAACGTGTTTTTTTGGCAAATCACCATGGCAACGGATAAAGTTTAGTGAAAATTTCACACCTCTACTTTTCAACCAATAACATGCTTTAATGTTGACTAGTTACCATGGCAACTGAAAAAATTTCCGGAAATTTTTTCGAGGCGCCACGAAACTTTAGTGGAAATTTTTTGACAGTTGAAAAGGTAAACATAAGATCTACAATCATAATGTGAATGAACTACAATGTCTATATATTGAAATATTACCCATTTGAGTTTTAGCATTTGATGTACTGTTGGTAATATTTTTTATTTAAGGAAATATGTTAGATATAATTATGAATTTCTTCGAAATTGCCATATGTTCTAAAAATATAGTTCTGCTGCCTTTATTTAACTAAAGCTGGTATTTTCATTTAACGGAAATATGATGATATACACCTTGATTTTGAGGTGTTATCTGGTTTTATATTTTCAATTTCTTCTTTAATGACTTGTTGGTTTACTTTTTCCAAATCGCATATTTCGCTATACACTTCTTACTCTACGTACAGACGTTTTAAACTAGTAATAGCTTAATGACAGAATCGCAAACAAAATGACAAACATACAATATGTCAAACAATACTGGCCAACTTAACAAATTGAAATTATTTTAAAATGTCAGCGTTGGATTAATATTTTTTTTCAAATTTAGGTGTGAAATTTTTCATCGAATAGCCACGCAACTAATTATTCCTGCTGGGCACGAATATTTTAGAAAATTATCCTGTCTTCGACTCGGGATAATTTTCAAAATATTCGTGCCCTCAAAAAATTTCCAAAATAATTTAAGCTCTTGTGATATTATATGAAAATTTTTCCTTTGTGTTCCTGTTCTTC